CATAAGAGTTAGGTTTTCCCACCAACTTGAGCAGCCAAATGCATTACATGAGTAAAAGTAACTACCTCAAACAGCTTCTTCAAAAGAGCAATGTCATTGATATCTCCTTAAACAATTAACACACCAGTGTGTTCAAGAAAAGCTTGTCGAGCTCGTTTCAATGAAGGGTCATAGTAATCGTTGACGTTGTCGAGTCCGAGGATGTTGTCCCCACGGCATTTCAGGGCGGCAAAGACATGGGTTCCGACGAAATCGGCAGTGCCGGTGAACACTATGGTGACTACTGAGTACACTAACTAGAAAACCTCGTGAATTTTTGTCGAAGTTGCCATTGACAGAGTTCAAAGGGGGGAGAGAGAGAGAGAGAGAGAGGGTGTGGCTGAAATATAGACTCATAAATAGGTGAAGGATCTTAGGATAAAAAATATATATATATTATAGACCTCTCCCATTATTAAAAATTGGAGAGGAATGTTAAACTGAATATTCTTAAAAAATATTTATAAACACATAAAAAAATTTAAAATTTAAATTATTAATGATATATAGTTTTCCTTATTTTGGCAAGTGGGTAAAAATCAATTTTTTTGACTTTTTGATTTTTTTAGGTTATATTATCTTTCTAATTTTTTATACGTTACTTCAAAAAAAAGTCAAAAAAACTAATTTCTAACCTACTTCTCAAAAAAGTCTTGTCACTGATGTATATTGTTTTTATTAAAAAGTAGGAGTTGACCTGTGCAATGCACATGTTATTTTTTTTTGGGTAAACTATAACTTAACCCCTTGTGGTTTATCCAAAAAACACGGAGCCCCCTTATAGTTTCATTTGTAACACTTAAACCCCTATACTTCATATCAAAGTGTAATTTTGGACAGATGTAACAGAAATTGTAAAAAGTCTAAATTACCCTTATTTATTTCTCTAATTTTCTTCTTAATGCCATTATAAACCACCAATCAACAAATTGTACAATCTGTTTGGTCTTGATAGTGGTGAAACCAAGCATTGATAAGTTAACATGTGTACCTGAGGAGAAGTGTGGGGATATATTTTCTGAGTCCCAACACATGGCCAAGGTGACGCCGACGTGTCAGCCGAGGTGCCATGTGTCCAGGTTATGACATCGAGGTGATCTCGGTTAGGCCGAGGTTATCTCCGAAGATATCGGAATCTGAGATAAGCGAATAAAGGACAAGAGTCCTAGAATGAGGAAGGACTTTAGCATGGATAAGGATAACACTCTTAGGGAGATTATCTTTATCTCTTGGAGAGTTCAGGATAAGCACTGAGCAGAAGTCCATTGAAGCTAGGCTTCTATGGGGACTAGGATTAAGTTAACTATAAAAGAAAGGCACCCTTGATGGGTCTAAGGTACGCAATTTATATTCTGAACAGTGAGTTTAGCACTGTTGATTATCTTTGAGAGATATACTGACTTGATCGTCGGAGTGCCTCCGGGTGGATGAACCACCGTTGAAATCTTCTCTTTCTGTTGCAGGTCAACCAGGTGTCATCTATTCTGCCAGTGCTCTCCAGCTAAATACTGAGTTGGTAGTGTGGTCGGAAATTGACACACGCAATTTGGCGTCGTCTGTGGAAAAGAAAGGAGAATAGATGGTCAGCGACGGACAGAAGGATAAGGTTGGGGACGAAATCCCTGCTGAGAGTGAAAAACACGTAGACCCAAACATGGAGAAAGATGGTCACAATGAAGAGACTCAGAACCAGAATCATAGCAAGAAAGACGTCGGCCAAAATGGTGACGTGCCAAAGAAACCAGATAAAAGCGTATACTACAACGAGGACGACCTCCAGGTATGGAAGGATAGATGCCTGCGGAGGGACGAAGAAGTGAAAGAGATGGCAAACAAGTTAGCAGACCTGCAATCGGTCGTCAATTTTATGATGCAAAATAATGTCATGCAGCCACCATTCCCGCTGTAGGACACGCCGATTCCAGCGGCCAATGCCCAGAAGGGAGGGCAGAAACCAATCCTAATAGCCCCACAGCACACCAGGAGTGAAGGGAGGGCAGAAACCAATCCCAATAGCCCCACAGCACACCAGGAGTGAAAGACACTCTCACCGACCTTCAAAGGAGGTCGGGCAAGGAGAGTCGAGGAAAGAAGAGTCACGAAGGACACATCGAACTAAAGAAGCAGACCCCGAAGAACATCGGCATGTTCAAAGGCAGGAACTATGCTTTGACACAACTCATGGAGAAAGGTCGAAAAGGGTCCACAACGAAACTGAGAGTAATATGCTGAAAAGACTGAAGTCGGGAGCTAGCCGAGCTCCTGGGCGGAGCAAGGAAGACCTAAGAGATTACCTCAAGAGGAAACAACATAATGCCGATGCCAAAGTAACTTTACCTGTTAAGCCGAGAACACCCTTCCCCGTAGAATTGGACAAATTTGAGGCGCCGAAGAGATTCAGTATGCCGAGGTTCCAAATATACGATGGTAAGTCAGACCCTAACTTCTACGTTGGATTATACTTGAACTCAATGGCATTGTATAGTGGGAACAAACCATTACTCTGCAAAGTGTTCCCCTCATCCTTCGGGGAGATTGCATCAGATTGGTTTCACAAACTACCAAAGGGAAGTGTGAAGACCTGGGAAGGCCTGGCCGAAATGTTTGTGGCCAGGTTTGTGACAAACAAGCTGCAGCCATTAAGGGTGGACGCATTGATGGCTCTGAAGATCAGTAAAGATGAAGGCCTTAGGGCCTATGCAAAAAGGTACTATGAGGTGTTCAACCGAATACCAGAGTGTAATCAAGAGGTGGTGGTCATATCTTTCAAGAACGGCCTAAAAGACGACTGTCCACTATGAAAATCTTTGGCAAAGACATTGCCAAAAAGTATGGAAGAGCTCATGGCTAGAATCGAGAAGTATGCCAGAGCTGAGGAAGATACATTGGGGACTACGGAGACAAAGCAAGAAAAAGGAAACAACTCGCCGAAGCGAGGCCGAGGTAACAATGGATCCAGCAAGCAAGAGGTAGGACTAGGGGCTACACAAACAGTTACAACTGTGTTCCGAACCCCGATTCACAAAGTCCTGGATAAGATTCAGAACCAACCCTATTTCAGAGCGCCAACGAAGGCACTAGGAGAGTTTATGGAAAGAAACCTTGGCAGACATTGTGCTTACCACAATGAAGATGGGCACATGACTCAGGGTTGTAGAGCCCCGAAAACACACTTAGAAGACCTGGTGAGGCAAGACCATCTGAGAGACCTTGTCGATGAGGCCAGGACAAGGGAAGAACAGGCAAGATTGCCTCAGGCGATAGCAACTCCACCTCCCCCAACACAGTAACCTTAAGCAGGAGGACCTCGGGTAATTAATGTAATTCACTCGAAGGTCAACGAAAACGAGATTTGGGGGGAAGACCCAGAAGGTAAAACACCTACAGCATGTCTACCAAGTCGGGGAGAAGAGACATCGGACAGAAAAGTGCCAAGGACCAATAGTGTCCTTTACTGAAGCCGACCTTGAGATGGTGCAGCATCCACACAACGATGCCTTGGTGGTATCCCTCCAAGTTGGGGAATGCCAAGTGAAGCGCATCTTAATCGACCAAGGCAGCTCTTATGACATCATGTACGTCAGATGTTACAAGGAACTTGGGGCCTTCATCCAAATGATATGGAGCAATCCAATAGCCCAATGGTTGGGTTCAACGGAACGCCGACATGGCCACTGGGAACGACGAGCTTGGAGATGCAGGCTGGCACCAAGAAGATAAAGGCAGAGTTCATCGTAATCGACACACCCTCCCCTTACAATATCATCTTGGGAAGGCCATGGTTGCATGCAATGGGGGTTGTTCCCTCAACACTGCATCAACTATTGTGGTTCCTAACAGAACATGGGATAGAGGAGATTAGAGGAGATCAACTGCAGGCAAAAAATTGCTCCATGGCAGCAATGAAATCCACCTGCAGCATACGAGAACCAGAGAAGGAAGAGATCGAAGGCGAAGACGTGGAGGTCCTAGAGAATATCGGCAAAGAGCTAGCCAAGAAAAGTGAAGAAGCACTAAAGAAAATCCTCGTCTAGAAGGGGGATGAAGAACGCTTCTTTCAAGCCAGGCTCGGGCTTAGCCGACAAAGAGGAAAAAAAGTTGGAGGCGTTCCTGAGAACAAATATTGAGGTGTTTGCCGAAGTAAATAAATAAAGTTTTAGCTCGATTTATTCATTTATACACTTGTGACTGATAAAGATACATAGTGTTGTTTCTGAAATACATGTATAATGAGAACCCAAGTGGAACTAAGGTTCACATTAAGGGGCAGAGAGAAGAAAAATGGTTTTAACACTTGTTGAAACTTGTGAAAAGTTTACAAGTTGAAGTTAAACCGAGATGATGTTTAACACTTGTTGAAACTTGTGAAAAGTTTACAAGTTGAAGTTAAACCGAGATGATGTTTAACACTTGTTGAAACTTGTTAAAAGTTTACAAGTTGAAGTTAAACCGAAATTATGTTTAACACTTGTTGAAACTTAAAAAGTTTACAAGTTGAAGTTAAACCGAAATTATATTTAACACTTGTTGAAACTTAAAAGTTTACAAGATAAAGTTAAACCGAGATTATGCTTAACACTTGTTGAAACTTAACAAGTTTACAAGTCGAAGTTAGACTAAGGTTAAACACTTGTTGAATTTTTTTGAAAAAATTTACAAGTTGAAACCAAGGTAGCGCCAAAAAAGGTACTTGGGTACTTACCGAGGTAAATCATCAGTTTGTATAACCGAGGTGTGTCACCCTGAGAAGATTACACAAGATTGAAGTGTATATTAAAGATATGCAAAATATTCTAAGTATGGAATCATATAAGAGTAATAAAGGAAAGACAAACATGCAAGCACCCAAGAAAGAAGGAAGTTGTATTCATAAGAAGGTACATCGGCCATATGAAGAGTTTACACTGTCCCAAAAACAAAGAAGTACAAAGAGCAAAAAACAAAGGGAAAAGACGCCAAAATTAAGATTCTTCAGCATCATTAGCAGGCTGGGTCTGGATCTCGGAAGACTGCTGGGAGGACATCTCGGCCACCTTCTCGACCGCAAGCTCAGCATCAATTTCTTGAACGGTTAGATCGAGGCTCTTGTCAGCAAGGGGCACGTCCGATGACGCCTTCTCAGGAGTAGCATCCTTGGGGGCTTCCTCACCCTCCTCATCTTAAGTCAAGTCCAGGACTTGCTCGTTCAGAGAAGGGGACTTGGTCTCAGCAGCCTCCTTTGATTTCCTCACCAAGGTCTCCTCCTCGGACTCAGATTCGTCGTCGGATTGAGTTGGAATTGGAGGGAATAGAAGTGGAATGACGTCGGCGTTCCTGAGGGGCGAGTCCTCGGGGACTTCAAGCTTTTTTAGAAGAGACATCCAACCCAGGGTGAAACCCTTGTTGCATGCCTGCTTCACTTACTTTTCATAGTCTGATATGACATCGGCCGCCCCTTCGTTATAGCCCTTCTCATCGGCTGCCTTGAGCTCAGCGTCTTTGGTGGCCAAGGCATCCTGAAGTTCTTTTTGGGCTTGGGCCATCTTTTCCTCAAACTCTTTCCTCTGGGCCTCAAGAACCTTGTTAATGGCCTCAGCAGCACCTGTTTTTTCATCGGCATCGTCCTTAACTTTGATGGCAACCTCGCCCTGGTCTTCCAGCTTCTTCATTTTTGATTGCAAGCTTTTATTGGCCCTTTGCAGACTGGTAACTTCTCTCTTCTTATCGACCAGTTCTTTCCAGTTCTCAAAGGATTGTATTGAGAATGAATGAGCATGCTGGATGGCCTGAAAGTGAACAAGACAAAAGTTATTAGAAAATTTTCTAAGTGCAATAAAGAAAGAAAGAAAAATGACCAAATAAAGACACTCACTTGGACAGAGCGCTGGAGCATCAGAGCATAGTTTTCATATTCGCTCAGCTCGGTATTCCGGTCGAGATCGCCAGGAAGGAGCAGAGCGGTACTAAGGGTAACGCCGACGTTTATGTCATCGGCACTATCGCTAGCCTTAACTGGCTTATCCTCCAGTGTGACTTGGGGAGCCCAAGGGGCATCGTGCTTCAGAGACCCCGAGGTGGTTGTAGCAAATGACCTTGGCCTTTTTGATTTTGGGGATTCAGATTGTTGGGCCTCGGCTGGCCTCTTCTCGGCAGCAGATGTAGTTTTCTCGCTCGAAGCTAATTTCGAGATCGGCAAAGTATCTTCGGTGTCAATTTGAGTCACATTTGCCTTTGGCTGAGCCTTCTTGATCCTTTTTGTCTTCGATTTTGGCTGGGTTGGCACTGATTGGACATCAACTGAATCAGGAATATCGGCCAACAGATCCTTAGCAACTGCTTTTTAGCGGCCCATTTCAGCAGCAAAAATAGTTCCTCGCCAACGTTAGCGCTGGGATATTGGGATTAGATAAGGAGCCAAGGTTGACGACTGCTCGGCTAGATCAGAAGTCGATCCTTGATCTTGCCGAGATGTGGAGGCAGTCTGAGGAGTTATGGCAGAAGGAGGAGACAGACTCTTCTTCTTCTTCTTGTTGAAGACGTCGGGGAAGAGCTGACTTGTACATAGGAATGAAATTAAGTAGAAGAGGGGCCTTCCGTTTGTGGACTGGCAAATCCAATAGTTTCCTCAAGCCTTTGCTGGGAAAGAAAGTCTGACGGAAACCCTTTAATGGCTGAGGAAGAGCTGCAAGAAAAGCAGACATTAGAAACAAATAAAGTATTGAAGACTTTAAAACAAACAAGTTAATATGGACACAGGGCTCTTACCATTGCCCTCTACAAAAACTGTTCGAGGAAGAGGATAAAGATGGAGGTTCTCATCTGGAGCGAACTCCCAGTTCCCCGAGGTAATGAAGTAATCGTCTCCAGCTCCCTTGTTGGAGTCTGGGAGGTCGGCTACGATTTTGTATTTTGTGGATCTCGGCTTGAGGTAGTAAATGTAGCCCATGTCTTTTTTGAGGCCACACATGGTGTAACAATACTGGATATCAGCTAAGGTAACCCTAACGTTTTCTTATTTGGCTAAGGCTATGATGCCATTAATGACTCGATAGGAGTTGATGGCAAGCTGCATTGGGTTCAACTTATAATAATGGATGATCTCATGAAAAAGGATATTGAGTGGAAGCCGAAGTCCACACTCGATGAAAACTACAACAGGAAAGGGAATGGAATCAACTCACGCCTAAAGTGATCTAACTTGGTCGGGGTGTCTACCCTATGTTTCCACATACCCATGATATCGGCCTAACTAGGGGGAACTGGGTTTCAGAGTGTTTTAAAAGGGTTATTGAGACCTCGGCAAAAGCCTAAAAATTTGCTAGGTAAGAATTTGAGGAAATAGTTTCAGTTTTTCCTAATAATCGTGGGTTCTACAAGCAAATCCCAAACCTAGATCTATGGAAACGAAGATTGAAGGCGCGAAATCTGAAAAACAGAAAAGCAAGAATGCGCTTCAGAATCAAGAACAAAGATAGACTATCAAGAACATTATAAGTACGAAAGGTATAAGGTCAAGAACAGTGGCAAAAGTGCAGAAAAGTTGTGAGCAGTGCGAGTATTCAAGACATGGGTAAAGAACAAAATCGTGAAATAAATATGCTCAGATGCATGATTCATGAATCAAATATTTGAGTAAAACAGCAATGGCGACTAAATGATGATGCAAAATTTCTTGGAGCACAACAAGAACTAAAACCAGGAGGAATGGTGACTTACCAGAGAAAAGAAGCCGATGTTGAGATCGCCGAAGTCAGAAGAACGGCGGCAGCGGAACAGATTGGCAAGAACCTCGCCAGAGGAAATGGACGGAGCAAGTTGCAGAGCTTTAAAAGCTTGAGCAATGGAGGATCTTGAAGGGAAAAGTTAGAAAGAGAAAAAAGCTTCAGACGCGAAAGTAAAAAGTGAAGAGACGAAGAGAGAGGATACTGATTTTGTCAAAAACGCGAAAAGGCGGCAGAAGGGAATTGATAACTCTAGAAATACGGATTCGTCAGACGGCGCACGCAGGCGTGAGACCACTTACAAGCGCATACGAAGTACGATCCAGTTAAAGGAAGATGCGTGGCTGAAACAGTTGAGTTATTTTGCATGACAGCTCATACGCGTGAAAGAGATCTTTGAAACTTTAAACCTTAAAGAGACATGTCGGCCTATATAATGATCTTGGCTGAGAGACTTTAAATCGATGTATTGACAGGAAGTTCTGGTATAGGTTCCATCACCTCAGAATGCTGAGGTAATAGAAACTAGGGGGCAGTTATGGGGATGTATTTTTTGAGTCCCAACACGTGGCCAAGGTGACGCCGACGTGTCAGCCGAGGTACCACGTGTCCAGGTTATGACGCCGAGGTGATCTCGGTTAGGCCGAGGTTATCTCCGAAGATATCGGAATCTGAGATAAGCGGATAAGGGACAAGAGTCGTAGAATGAGGAAGGACTTTAGCATGGATAAGGATAACACTCTTAGGGAGTTTATCTTTATCTCTTGGAGAGTCCAGGATAAGCACTGAGCAGAAGTCCATTGAAGCTAGGCTTCTATGGGGACTAGGATTGAGTTAACGATAAAAGAGAGGCACCTCCGATGGGTCTAAGGTACGCAACT